GGCACCATCAGCTTTCTTCACCACATTTGCTTATGCACCCAGGGAAACGCATTTTTAGAAATCAAAATATAAAACTGGATGTTTGCAAATTCTAAGTACTAAATATATTTATGAATATTACACAAATACCATGTAGTCTCTCAGAACTACAGTATGGAATAACTTTTCAACATTCAAACAGGATGCTTTTTTACTGGTACAATTTCTAAACAAAGTATTTTAAGAATTTTTATCTGAAGATCATTCCTTTTCCCTTGATGTCACTGGAAAATTATAGCTGTGTAAATTCAAAGCAATGTTTTTAATAAAGCTCCCAACCAAAGCAAGGGGTATGGTGCTCTGAGTTCTAGTTTTGTTAGCATTCCTCATGGTACTGCTGACAGAGCACTCAATAAATATGGTGGGTTATTTAAAGAAAATAAAATGCATGTACATTAAAACTTTTAATTAATGGAAACTTCTCAACTACCTTAGCCACAATGTGTAAGATGAATATGAGTGAGGATCAGATACAGGGAAGATGACTACAGTGCCACTACAAAAATATAACAAGGGTATTCTTTTCATTACAACTACTTACTCAAACACACTTGCCACGTCACTACCTACATTCGAAAAGTAAAAAATGTATTCACTCTGTTCTTCAGGATGAGACTTAAAGACAGAGCTGCTTTGTTTCATTTGAAATACACTGATTCAAAATGGGTGATAATAAATAAAGTTGAAATAATTGTTTAAAACGGTCACTGAATTGACGTCAACTCCCGGCAATCCCATGTTTGCTGAGCAGAACTATTCCACGATGCGATCTTTGGACAGCGGATTGCCAGGCCCCTCTTCTGAGGGTCCTGTGGGTGGGTTCAAACCACCAACCTTTCAGCTAGTATGTTGAGCACTTAACCATGTGTGCCACCCAAGCAGCCAACTTTAAATTAAGTACTCCATTTGTCCACTCCACGCTGCTACCTTTCTCTTATTTTGTACAGTAAAACCTGCAAAATCCAGAACCTATGTAAAGCTGAATCATGTCAGAGATGGTAAACCCACTGGGCGTTTAGGAGATGGAATTGTTCATAGAAAGGGAGAGAAAAGTGGGCCGCATGCTATCAAAGGTGGAAAACTTGTTGCATTCTGCCTTTCACAAATGTCACTCATCTGACAGCCTGAGGACTAGAACCAAATAACCATTCTAAAGTGGCTAAATATGCTATTTGAAAATGCTGTTCTTACACTTACTGATTTTTATATTTTTCAGCTGTGCGGATGAATTCTGCTTTCTTAGTTCGAATAGCTTTCTGCTTCCAATTTTGAAGCTGGTAACTTCGAACTCCACCTAGGGCATTAAAACTGCCATTATTCTGCATTAAAAAAAAAAAAGAATACATTTACCATCAAGAATAAAGTCATTCCTAGATTCATTAAATGACAAAGGAAATCATCAATCAGGAGAACGATCCCACTTCAAAATTTGAAAGTCAAAACGTAGCACAAGTTATATTTTGCTTTATGATACTATGAAAGCAGTAGTTTAGGAGCCCT